TCATGTTGTTGTGTTTGGAGAAGACTAATCCTTAATGACCAAAGACAGCCTCTGGCAGGCACCAGGGTAAAGGCTTAACAAGCCTGTAAGCTTGCACATGAGCAGCAGTAATAGGAAATCACTCACTCATGGCAAATCTATCATTCTGAATACATATTGAAGGATTACTTCAATTATTGAAGTGTTACTTTCCTGCTGATGTTACACCAAGCCAAGGATGTCAAGGATGGATCAGGCTGGGTATTTCCTGTTATAAATTCCTTTCAACTGAACTACAGTTAAGACAGAAGACCAAGTATATGCAATTACATGGATGACTCTGGGGTACCTTAATTTCTGTTGTTTTAAATAAAACTAAATGATCCTCCACACGTTCTGTTCTCTCCCAGGCTTGCTCCATGGATCTTTACATTGTTGCTGCAGGAAAGGAGCTACTTTTGTAACTCCAACTTTTATTGTGCAAAAGACTTTCTCCTACATCAAAGCCAATAAATTTCATGCTTTAGCCTTATTCATGGAATGGAGCAAATGTTGAGAAGCACACAAAGGAGTCCTTTTTTTCTGGAAGCCTGCATAACCAAAGCAGTTCACCCTTATCATGCAGTCCTCCATCTATATCACACAGATAACCTGCAGAGCAAGTTTTGCTATTTGCTTTCCTTTACACAGAGGCATGTTTGTGAGTGAAAAATCTGAGCAGGATTAAGGGGGGGGACTTAAGTCTAAATGGGAATAAATGCCAAAAAACCTACCTTCCTTGAAAATATCAAAAAGGGAGGAGGAAGTGATGGACAGAAGCAATGGTGTCTGTGAGATGCAAGAATAAACTTTTCCCACTTTTTGCATAGGAAGCCCACATTACATTTCCCTTTCTTCAGGACCCTTTACAAGCACCAAGCCCAAAGGAAGGCAGGAGCCTTTTACATGAGCTCTATCCCAACTTCATTGAAGAGAGAGACAACAGACCAGCAAGTACATTTCTGCAATGATGAGTATCCTCCTGAAGAGCAGGCAAAGGTAAAGAGTTCTTTTCCCTTTGGGCATGCCAAATTACCCTGTGTTAACCTCTAGGAAACACAGCTGCATGCTTGTAGGTGCTTCCCTGAAAAAGTGTTGAACAAGCTCCAAAGGCATCCACCCCTCCCTGAGGACCTACAATATCAACATCTAAAAACTGCACAGTGCCAGTGTCTTCTATTGCACAACTAGACACGACCTTGGCACAGTCCAACACATCCTACCACAAGACATGGCATGACAGATACTCGATTACCATGCTCAGGAAGGCAAACACTGGTGCTCTGGGGGGGCTTTGGAAGCAGAGAGAGTGTTATTGTCATCACCCTAAGTTTCTGTATTTGAAAGGTCCTCAGGAAGAGATACAGCACTGGGGGCATGGCTGTATTCATCCTTGGGCCAGAGATCAAGTAATCATTTCCATTTCTTATGTGCCAGAGGAACAAAACTTCCTTAGTTCTCCCCTTTTAAATATTGTTATTCAAAAGGAGCTTTCCTAGTCAGACCATGAGAAAAAGCCATCTGAAAAATAAGAAAGTATCTTTCAACCTTTTCTTTTAAAGTTCAGGAGTCAACTCCTAATCTTGGGGCTCTGTTAGAAACTCATATTTCAATTCTCTGTGTTTGCAATTGTTGATTTGGGGTTCCCCCACACAAAAAAAAAAAAAAAAAAAAAAAAAAAAAGAAAATTCTACTAAGTACATAAAGAAGAGGAGTAAGAATTCAGAAGGACTATATGAACTACATCTGGCACCAAAGTTGGGTTTTGCAGTCTTTACTCTGCAACACTTACAATAATTAATTGCTCACTTGAATGTTTACAGAAGCTCCTTACATGTCATTGCAGGCAAACCACAACTTCACATTTATATATCACCAGAGTGGTTGGTACATGCCTGTGCCTTTCACAGGTCATGCAATGAATTCCATTCTTTCTTAGGTATGTTCAAGAGCTTTTAAGTACCTTTGTTATTTTCCTTCTTCTGTGCTTGGTTAAACTGTGAATTTTTACTAACTTCAGTCCTGATTTGTAAACTAAGGCCTTCCAGATTGCCAGTTACTTCTGAGAATTCCTCCTAAACTGAGACTCTTCTCAGCACAAGTTAGTGGTGTTGCTAGAAAGTCATGGAATTCAGCTCTCCCTCTTTAGTTGTCTCTACCTTTCTGGGGGCAGGGGACAGGTGGGCTGTCAGGTCCTTGAATGAGTTCATGTGTGCCTCATTACTTTTAGAAGATGAGGCTCAGGCTGCTGCCACAGAAGAAGGCCCTGGATTGCCCACTTTGGTTCCCAGCTGTGCTTTCTGGCCCATGCCTTCTCTTGCAGCCCCTGGGCAGGAGGTGCATGGCACTGACAACTGACACGGCCAAATCCTTTTCAGATGGGTCAGTTCAATGCAGCTTCTGCACTGGGTGGTTGCAGGCACTGCTACTATTTTGCAGCTGTTGTCATTTGTCTTGAAGTTAGTTATCCACACTAACATCCATGTTTACTTCTCCCCTCACAAGGGTTGACCCACTTCTGTTAGCTCTAGAACATTTAAATGAAAGACACTCTATCCATATTTGTTACTGCCCCAAGTACTCACCTACACAGTATTAAAAATCAAAACCATAAAACATAATTTAAAATACGTATTACAAATATATAAATAATCACCTTCTCATGATGAACTTTGGAAGTGAACAACTGTTTCAAACTGCAAACATCCCCACTGAACATTTTTTGAGGACACAGCTTTCATTGAAACTTCACCCGAGTTTCAACCATAAAATATGACAAATTGTGTTAGCCCAATCCTACCTTACGTCATGCTAAGGTTAATCCTCCACTCAGCTCCCTGCTGTGTGAAACTCCAGAGGGTGCAGGGGTGTGCTTCAGAACTGCCCCTCAGAAGCCCTCCTGACTGAACAAACACACTGGCAGCACTTGTTGTACGAAAGTATGCAGCCACACACATACCAGTGCTGGTCTTTTCTGAACATTTATTCAGAGAGAGACAGGTCTCACTTCATTCTTTTCCCCTCATGTTTCATGAGATCAGCTAGAGATTTTGTTTTAGGCTGGCTGCAAATTCTGTTTTGCCCAAATACATCTCCGGACACTCCCTATTACACTTCAGTTATAAAAACACCCTCTGACCCAGCCCCCCTGGAGGAGCCACAATAAAGAAACCATTTCCTGCCCCTCCAACCTGTTGAGATATTTTTAGTTGAAACTGAATGCACATACCTGTGGCAGGTGAGGCACCAGTGAGAATGTGGGTGTGGTGAGACCTTTGCTTTTCTAATGTCAAGTGCTTCTACAGCTTGTCATTCCAAATCAAGGGAGGTGGCCAGCTGTCTAGTCACTCCTCTCAATGAGGCTCTGTACTCTTTCACAAGGAGCAGCTCTATTTCTCTCCACCAATATTCTTGCTACTGCAAAAGAGGGATAATCTTTGACTCCACCAAGGGACAAGACATCCCCTCTGCTGTTGCAGGCTTCTGAATAGGAAGAACACGGTGAGATGCTACAGACTCCAACAACCTGAAAGGAATTCTGAAAGAAATGACTCTGCCCTACCTCCTCCAGCAGTCAAAGTGCCCTTCACACCACTTTACAAGACTGGTTCAGGACTGACTCTGCATCTCAAACATTACATAGCTGGGAATAACACTCCAGAAGTTTTCCAGGGATCCAGGACCCTCAGATTTAAGCTTTCTTTGCTTATACTGGAACCAACCCTATCCTGCCTGCAAAGAATTAAGAAATTTTGTTCAAGCTCCCAGCAGGACATTTGGGAGGTGTTCCCATGCTCCATGGGGAACAAGCACTTGCATCTCCACCCATATTATCATTCATTTTGTTCTGTCTCTGGTGCATTCTAGGGCTATTTCCTCTTATCTGTGTGGTTTGCTACCAAAGGGCCCTGTAAAATGTTCTCATTTATGGGCTTTTACCCCTGGCCCTCTGTGCTAGGATCCAGAGAAGATAAACACTTTCTCCTTTACACAAAGGCTCTTAGCAATGAACATACCCAAGATTTGTACACTTATGATCTGCCACTGACTCAAGACCATTTTAGAGCTTGAATATATTTGGGAGATTTAAGTAAACTGCTACAGCATAAACAAAGAGTGAGAACACCGGCACTCTTTTTGCTCTAAAGAGTATCTCAGTTCCTCATGAAAAAACAGACCTAGGTTTTCTGGCATTTCTTTGCAAAATCTGCTGCCCCTAACAAAAGTGTAAAAGCATTCTGACTAGCATGCAAGTGGATACTAGATTTATGCCAACAGTGTGAAATAACCACTGTTCTCATCTTGACCACTGCAATAGTTTCTACTTTCCATTTAGATCTAAAAAGGACTATTTTGAACACTATTTGTCATGTAGAACTAAATCCAGTTTAGGAATGGTTCTACCGGACATTAAATTTTCATGTTTTCAGTAAATTTACATATGCAGGAGCTTCTCACTGTTCTCTGCCTACCAACAGGAACATCCTGTATGAAAATTTTTATTGTCAATGAGAACCTTCTGGTTTTATATCAAGTACATTTATCTCATTCTTGCAAATGTCTACTTATCTGGCATGGAACTCAGCGTAAGAGTAACAAAATTCCCTGCCTAGGGAAACAAAGAGCTTTCCAGGACACAAGCTGGGAGGTGCAGAAAAACAGGTGAGCTGCTTTCCAACCAATACCCCCCTCTTGTGTTCACTTGTAAGTACTACGAGAATCGGGCACAAAAACCCCACCCAAAACCCTGACCTATCCTTGATGGTGACAATCATCAGCAGGTATTGGATCGAATTCCAGGCAGTGAATGTTTCATCCTGCTGAAGCTTGTTCTCTCTGTGCTGGACCGCTCTTCAGCTGACAAATCTAAGGCGCAGATGTCACATCTGAATTGCTAGGATTGACCCAAGAAGAAAACCTTCTGGCAGAGCTGATACACAAAGTGACCAGAACAGGTCAATGACAAGACAAGGAAAACCAGGTAGCTTCAAAATTAAGCAAAATATATTTTGAGTTCTCAATGTAACACATCCCTTCACCAAGGCAAGGGCATCACAGCTGTGCTGTGAAAACTCAGTCACTTAAACTTTTTCTTCTGACAGATCTGATTCCAGATGCACTCAGTGAGATTGGATAGTGGGACAGGCTGCAGCAGTGCAAAAGCTGCACTCACACTGCACTTCGTAGTGAATGAGCAGGGCCAGACCACAGCTGCTTCCAGGCCAGAGGTGATGGTCTCTGACGGTGTCCCTGAAAGGAAAACTGCTATACCATGGTACTAACAGGGCCAAGCTCAGTCTGTAGCTGGTGAAGAAAATCAGGTTTTTTTTCCTCAGGGACTGTCAAATTTCATATGTAGTTCTGAAAAAAAATCCACTGGAGATGGCTTGGTAGACTGTTTTTGATAGCTCAGACAGCCATAAAGAGAAAAATAAAAAAGTCTGGTCAAATACCAAACTAGAAGGCTTTCCTTTTCTTCTTTTTCCCTCCTGCCACCTTATTCCTGACACCAATAGCCTCTTCTGTGTCATCATCATCGTTCCGAGATCGCTTCTTCTCTCCCTGCTCCCGCAGCTCCTGCAATGCAATCAACAGATGGACCCAAAGTTTGGCACCTGAAGAAATTCAGACTACAACAGCAAGGACAGGGTCAAAAAGCCAGCACCCACCATTCGAGCAATCCTCTGGGCCTCAGCCACACGCTCTGTCAGCATCATAACTTCTTCCTCTTGCATGGGGAATGCTGGCAGCTTCTTGCCAATCAGGTGTTCAATGCGCTGGAACAGCTCTACATCATACCTGAAGAAAGACAAGGCACCAGCTTCAACCAGCCCTCCTGAGAGGGCCTCAGCTGTCACCACTCACACACTTCAGCCCTTATCTCCAGCCCACAGGTACTGTTGGTTTGTGCTGATGGTCTCACAAGCAGCTCAGCTGCATCCAAATGATGCCGTTTGGCATGGCTTCTCTGATTTATCCAGCTCACCTCATCTCTGTTCAGCAATATTTGGTAAAGATTTTCTTTTTAGACAAATACTTCAGTGTTTATAAAACACCCCCAAAGTTACTTAACGTGCACTATATATTTAAAAAAATATATAAATATATTTTATAGTACAATTATAAACCATTCTGCTCAATGAATGCCTGCTTCTAGAATTTTTCTAGACTCTTCTCCCTCCCCACCATGGGCTTTGAATTCGCTCCCCTTTAACTAAATAAAACCAACTGGTACTTCAAAATGAAAATTAGTATTTTATTCTCACCCAGGATAAGGTCAGATATTTTCTGCTCTGAAACACAGCTGGGAAGAATAAGTCTATTAAATTTTATCACTTACTGTGTAACAAAGGTGATGGATTTGCCAGATCTCCCAGCTCGAGCTGTTCTCCCAACACGATGAATGTAATCCTGGAAAGAATTTTCTTGATAAGCAATAATGTATGTTCACCAAACACAGAACAGATCTTATGGCAGATCAGCCTATATGTTTTCTCTTTAGGAAAGAACAAGAGAATGTCAAGAACATACTGCCAGCATTAAATGCTCAGGAGGGTGTGCAGCATCAGATTTTGAGAAGAGCCTAAGTGGAGGCACAACTTCACTTTTAACATTTGAATTCTTCTCTTTCTAAATGAGAAGACCAAATCCAATTATTTCAGACTGCAGGATAAAAGTTGCAATACATGACCTTTGCCAAGACTTCACTCTCACTTCCTTCGAAAGCTAATATTCACAGTGATCCCATGCCTGCATTTTCAGTCCTGGAATCTAGTGCTCTGCATAGTTCATCTTCCAGAGAAATTCTCTCACAATCAGAGTTAAACTTGGTAAGCATGGTGAAAGAGAGGATGATTGAGAATAACTTAGAAGAGTCTGATCTATTGAGCATCTTTGGTCAGTATGGTTCTAGGCTGTTTTCCAGTTTTTATACTACATTATGGAAATTAAAATTCTCCCTTTTCCAGAGGACTTGCAGAGAGAGGATTGTAAGAAAGGATCTGTTCTGTGGGTTAGGTGAGAGAGAAGAGCACAAAGACCATAATAACACCATTCAAGCTGCTGCCCCCACTGTTTTTTTTCTTTTTTCTTACTTTTGTGCCTTTACAAAAGGAGTGTCTTCAAAAGACCTACCATGCTTTCTTCTGTTTGCAAGGCACAGTATCCTTAATCCTTGCAAGCAACAACAGCAATTCCTGAAGTGCAGGTTAATGGCATGCTTTCTGGAACTAAGCTGGGAAACAGTCACATCCCTGAGATAACCCCATACTTTCCATACAGACTTGGTAACTTACTTTCTTTTCCTTTTGCTGTACTTTTTGTACTTTTGATGTGAAGGTGAGACATATTAAGGACACCTTTCTTAACCAAATGCTTTTTGAATGTCATAATCACAGAATTTAGTTTTTTACTTTTTTGTAAACACAGCTTAAAATATGTAGGCAGACCTGGATCATGTACACAGAGATGACTATATGAAACTAGTAATATCTTAAAATTGTTTTCAAAACCCATTAATGTGAAAAGGCAAAACATACAGTCTGAGCAGAAATGCAAAGACACAGAGCATTCCTTACTTCTCCTCTTCACTTACGGGATCACTTCTACAACCCAGGCCATGAGACCATGCAAACAGAGATATCAACTCAATAGCAGAGGCTGAACTACACCTTTCAATGTAGAAAATCATGAATTAGGCTGCCAGTCAGCAGAACATGGAAAAGATGTCTCTGTTCCTTTGTCCACCTTGTTTGTCTATCTGCCCCCAGTGACCAGCTCTCAGCTGGCACACAGACATGCTTACCTTAGAGTGGGTAGGAATATCAAAGTTTATCACCACATCCACGTGTGGGATGTCCAGACCTCTGCTTGCAACATCAGTAGCCAGCAGAATAGAACGTGCCTTTGCCTTGAACTTGTTTAGAGAGCCCAAACGTTTATTCTGGATAAAGGATGAAAAGGGAATGACAGAATAACACTCATTCTAGTTTCTAGTTAATATCCTCTTGATAAGATACTGGCACAAAAGAACTGAGGGATAAACTACTCAAAAATTTCACTTCTCTAATTTCTTTTTTAAATATTACAGAATCAGCAGCAGCATTCACATTAGGTAAATTTCTGTGGATCAGTCCAGTCCAATAGCTGTGAAATATTCCTCCTGCAAGGCAGGTGTGACTCAGTATGCTGCAGCCCACTTCCCAAGCCCCAGGCCCCCTGCCTACTCTATTCTGAGGGTTCATGCCCATACCTGACTCATCTGCCCGTGGAGGGGAATGGCAGTGAACCCCAGGTTGCGGAGCAGTAGAGCAGTCCTCTGAGTATTGTTACATGTGCTACAGAATATCATGAAAGAGTTACCAGCCAGTTCATTCAAGATATAAACCAGGTAGCTGTCCTGTAAAGAAACAGAGAGAGAAGTCAAAACACCTCAGAGATAATCACATGTGCAACATCAAGTCTAGGACTCAGAAAATGACAAGATATTGGACAGATGTGGGAACAAGAAAAGACAGTAAGAGAGAAGAAACAGAAGTGTCATTACCTTGAATTTGGAGGGGATGAAAATGTAGTACTGCTGTAGTTTTTCAACTGTCTGATACTTGGAAGAAACAGCACATTTAACGGGATTCTTCAGAGCAGCACGCTGGAGTTTTTGAACCTGGTAAGATCAAAGAAATTTAGCTGGACAGAGATCTTGTCAGAAAATTGTTATTAATACAGTCTAGTCAAGAGGCTAGCCTTACGGAAAGAGAATTAAAACGGATTAGTCTGCTCCCACCTTCTTGGTCATGGTGGCAGAAAAGAGGAATGTCTTCCTGTCTCGAGGAATCACTTTTAATATCTTGTCCACCTGTAAAAAAATAAGAAATGGAAATACTAAATACTACAAGCTAGCAAGACACAAACCTTCCACAAATAAAAAGATCAACCACATGAGGAGTAATGCATGTGTAAACATTCAGTAGGAACAAATTTTTTTTCTTCTAAAGGGAAGGTGTAGGCTGATATCTTGTTGACAATTAGGCAGTGCGTAGTCCAAAAGTCCAACAACAGTGCAAATATCAGGCAATGTTTCTACAGGAATGTGTGTTTTCTACAGTAACTACATTCTACATCAGGCACTCCAGAGACACTAGTGGATGGAGTCAAAGTCCCTCCTACTGCCTTGGCAGAGCTCTGCAGAACTCTGCTATGTTGTAATCCCACCACAGATTGTGTGTAATTATGAGATCTTAGTTACAATTTACTACTAGTTTCTGCAGAACAGCTCAGTATTTCCTATGTGCCCATATGAAGTGATTTTAAAGGAACTCATCTGTTCCAAACTCATCTTTTAGCAGATCCCTACCTCTGTCTCGAAATCCATGTTAAGAATCCGGTCAGCCTCATCCATCACTAGGAACTTCAGAGCCCGTAAGTTGAAGCCCTTTGTGTTCTCCAGATGATCAACTAGACGGCCAGGGGTTGCTACCAACAGCATAATGAGAGTAAATTCAGAATGAAAGCAGAGGAAAAGATCCAAACAGGCAAGACAGCTGTCCATTACAGAAATGGGATTCTTTGCCCAGGAAAAGTAAAGATTGCTTTGTGGGAATAACTCTTTCATAGAGTATCTTCAGAGAATGTTCTGAAATAAGACTAATGGAGTCAGACTCTCTGAAGAATGTCCTAAAAGAAGTGACATAAAAGAGACTGTAGACAAGCTGTACTGCGAAGGATGAGACCAGCATTTCAAGTACTCAAGGAGAATGAAAAAACAAGCCAAAAGCACTCTAGGTCTAGCAGGAATGCTTTGGAATGAGCTTGTAACAACAAAGTTACTGGTGGACACTTTAGAAGCATTAACAAATCAGTACTCAGAGCTTGGGACAAAACACAAATGAAGGATGTACTCTCCTTCCTTTGGTTAGCTGCAGTTTGATAATATTCACACTCCACATCCCCAGCACATCAACTTACCAATTATAACATGTGGTTTCTTGGCTAAGGCCAGAGATTGAGACATCGTGTCAATTCCACCCACAATAACCGCTGCAGGACAAAGAGAGTGGAGTGAATCCCTCAGTGTAGCACCAGCCCTCCCCTGGCACTGTCGTGTTTACTCTGACTGCCCACCACCCACAGCAATTCTGTACAAATTAAAAGCTACTTATTTTTATGAGCACTTACTTTATTTTAGCATATCTGACCTTCCTAGGCTTCTTAAGCCATGCAATTAATTCCTTACTGGCCACAAGTATTTTATTTTCACAGCTGAAGAGCTACAGGCAGAATCTCTTCCTTGCAGTTTAACTCAGCTGCAAAAATCTAGGAATTCTAAAAATACCCACAAAGCTTTTTTTGAGATTATCTAAAGAATCAATACAGACAGCATGAAAGGAAGATTAAACTACATCACACCATAGCAAGGAGCTCTATGCAATTTCACTGGACACAAACCCACTATTGAGAACATTCTCTTCTACTTCCACCTTTAACTATTTAGACATAGAATGCAGAAGAGCTGTAGACCACTCTATAAGGAAAGGCCACTCAGTTTCTTTTTCTCAAACCTGATACCAGATCTCTGTCTTCCAGCAGCATATGCTTTTCTCACATTTGTTCAACCCCTGATACAAATCCTCTATTTTTATCTTTCCAATCTCAAGCTGACAAACTGGTCTTCAGAAAAACTGGCCCAATACCATAAAAGCTACTTACTGCTTTGAACACCAATGGAGGATCCAAGAGCTTCAAACTGCTCTGAGATTTGGAAGGCCAGCTCCCTTGTTGGTGTGAGCACAAGAGCAAATAACCGCTGAGGTGTTTCCAGCAGTGCTTGGAGAATTGGCAAAGCAAAGGCTCCTGTTTTTCCAGAGCCAGTTTCTGCCAGTCCAATGACATCTCTGCCTGTGAGAAGGAGCAAGGGGGCAAAAAACTGTTACACGTCCAGAACAGAGAAAGAAGACTTTAAAGCACTGTGCTACAAAACACAAGAACTCCCTAAGGACAGAAAAAAAGGCAGGCACACAGAAGGCAAAAAAAAAAAACAAAACCAAAACCAACCCACAAAGGGCCAAACCAAAGAATTTCAGAATCTCTCTGAAGCATTTTTAGACTGTGATTTTATTTGTACAATGATTACAGTCTCAACAGTCTATTTTCTAGTTAAATTTCTGTTAATATACAGGGCTTCATACAAAACTTAGGTACTTTATAATGTCTCAAATCTGACATCAGTTTACAGCTTAACTGTAAACCTCACTATTCTAGTCCAAATGTCATCTGTTTTTTGGCTTACAAGGAAACAAACAGACTCTGCTGTTTGAGACTTCAGCACACAAACTACAGGACAACAGCATTACCAATCTCACGTTTCACAAGGCACAATTGTGCCATTGATTAACAGGGCAATCTAAACCAGTTCCTTCAGGTCCTACCCTAGGAAGGGTAGGACAGAAAGTCTTTTGCCCCAGAACAATGCAGGCAAGAGGGTGGAATTCATCAATAGAATCCATTATGATCTCCTGAGCTCAGGCAGCCGAGAAGAACATGCTGTCAACACACCTCACGCTGGAAACAATTTCTCAGGCATGCAGTCTTACCTTGGTGTTTGATTTTTTTTCCCCCAAGAGAATCTCATATGTGTAGTAAAAGAGTCTGACAAAAGCTAAATGCTAGGACAGAGCAGCCACTGAAAGTTTGTTCACTGAAAGTTCTGTCCCTATGTTGTTCTTTTCTTCCTTGAGAGTTTTTGGGGGGTTTTGTTAAAAAAAAAATTCTAGAGACAGAAATGTCCGCTGAATTCAGTAATTTACTTTTTTGTAATTCCAGAATGCTTACAGAAAGTCACTGTGGTTTGGTCATTACTCACCTCAGAAATCTAATTTCAAAGAGTTGCCTGCTCACAGCAAAGCAAATTATACACAAGAAGGAATCAGTCAAGGCATATTCACTTTCAGTCACACACACACACACAAACACACTCTGTAGGTCTCTACCAGAAGCAACACAGTCCAAAACATATTAGAAGCTTCCTGTATATCCCTGAGTATTTCAGGAATAAAATGATCAATGTGGACTAGCAATTCAAATTATTAATAAGATTTCTATTTAACATGGAGTGTCAGAACTACACAACAAGAGTGAACCCTCAAGGAACAATGTTTGTACCCATGTGAAAGTCTGTAACTGCAGGCAGTGCTATAGGATAAACTAGTACTCCAAGCCCCACCTGGGAAGGACACAGAATGAATATGAAAACTACTTCTAGACAGAGATCCTCCACAATGAAGAAGTTGGGACACACTGATCCCTGATCCTTCTCACTCAGCAAAATTCCTTCACACAGAGCTCCTGGAGCAGGCCCCAGTTCAGATCAAAGAAGTACACTGCTCACCTTGGAGAGCCACTGGAATAGCCTCAACTTGGATCTTCGTTGGCACCTTCCATCCCAGCTGGTCACAAGCTTCACACAGGACATCTGTCACTCCCTGGACATTAGTGACAAGGGAAAAGGGAAACAGATATCACCAAAAAAACCTAAATTAAATCAGAGTTAAATTAAACACATGCTGCAACAGAGGCAACTTTTCTCTAGCGGAGACAAACCACACGAGGCCCCAGCACAACTCTCTGAAAGGGCAGGCTGCTCACAGTGATCCGCACTGCCACCAGGAACTTCATCGGATTTGCTCCAAATCTGTTAGAGATGACTTTCACAGGAAGAATATGGTCGGTTTTACCCTCGTTTACACAAGGAACTTCCCTCCCCACACACCTCTATCTCTTCACCTCAGGGGTGACCCATGACCACGGAAACCAAAAAACAAGTTAAGACAGCTTGAAGACAGCGGCGGCCGGCTGCGGACCGGCGATGGGAGCAGCAACGCCACCCGCAGCCGGGCAGCGGCCGAGTGCCCGCAGCTCCCGCGAGGGCCCGCAGCTGCTGCCCGGCCCGGCCCCGCGGAGCGCGGCACGTGTCTGCGCCGCGGGCACACGGGCAGCTCCCGGGCCTCATCCCCGCGGGGGGAGCAGGACGCTACTCCTCGGGACAGAGCAGCGAGCACCGGAGGCGGCAGCAGCTCCGGCCCAGCCTCACCAAGTCCTTGAAGCTCCGCGGCTCCTCCGCCGCCGGTTCCTGCTCCGGCTCCGGCGCAGACCCTTCCTCGTCGCCTGCCGCCATCTTGGCCCGTCCCCTCCGGATGCAGCGCGGAGCACTCTGGGAGCTGTAGTCCTCCTCGGAGCGCGACGGGATTTGTAGTTCCGGAGGAAGAGCCGAGCGGATCGGGAGGGTTCTCCCTCAGCTCCGAGGAGTGCCCAGGGAAGGGAGAGCTGCGGATCTCCAGGCGCCTCTCCTGGGACAGGGGCACCCTGAAGGGCTGTGGGGAAGCCTGCCCGCTTCCCCTCCCGGCGGTAGCCCCGAGCGGCCGAGCCTCAGGCCTGCACTCAGCGCTGCATGGCTTCGGCAGTGCTTGATGCTGTAGCTCATACCTTCTACAGCTGTGAAAGAACAGGCAAAATGAGCTGGCCTGACACAAAAAGGCAAGAATATGTATAAACTTAGATCCATAATGCGTATGGAGAACAAATTAAGTGCTTTGGATGTGTTGGTATGAAACAATTTGAAGCACTAGTCATGGGAAGAGAGAAAAGAGGTGTCATTGCCCTACATTGTTTTCGTGTTTATGATAATTGCTAATATGAATTTTTGAAGTATGAATTATGATTTTTTTTCCCCTCTGTCTCTGGGAAGTCTGTCTGGGCGTGCTCTCAATGGAATTGCTGATACACTGCAGCATCTGTCCCTGGATTCCGAGCGTGGCATTTCCTCTGCGCCCAGAACAATGAGGAAAGCGAGAGGAAATACCAACGAACTCTCTGCGTGACAGGGAAAGAAGAGGAAACCCGAAACAATTCATGGGCAGGAGTAAAAATGAAATGGCTGCATCCCACTGTGCTCAGGAGCAGTGATAAAACAAAAAAAAACCCAAAACCCCAAACCCACCCTGTGTAGATACTCATTGTTACCCTATGTTTCAAAAATTTCAGCAGCCTGACCGTCAGCTTGCTGTTTGTCATTGGTGCTAAAGGTTAAGCCTGGCCAGCACATAGACATGAGCCCCTGTAAGGGTCACTGGGATGCCTCAGGAAATGGAGCCAGGGATGTGACAGGAAGTCACTGCTTGTGATTCTTTACTGAACTCCTTGCCCACATAATATGGTGCTGCTTTAGTAGGGAGCAGGGTGGAGCAATTCTATTCTGGTGAAATTCCAGTTTGTGTAGGTCCCTACTGTCAACAGATGTATTTGAATGGAAGTTTTCTCCTGTCCTAAACTGCTGTTGGGAGCATTCATGCATGATAAAATGAATATACAGCTTCTAAGCAGTAATTCCTTTTTTGTGCTTTTCAGGACAGGACACTGCAGATTATACTGGATTTAGAAATTGTCACTCCAGGGCTTTTAAACTTGGCTTTTAAACAAATGAGCTCCTGGCTCTATTGCATGTTACAGTCCTTAGCAGGGGCAGAGTGAGAACATCCCCAGCAGATGAATTTTAGTGCAGATAACGTCAGCTATTTCATAAGGAGTGCATAAAGAGATGAGATAGACAATGTGTACAGCACATCACCTCCAGGAGTGCAGAGAGACACTGATACAAAAGTGCTTCATATTCATTTATTTGAATCAGCAGTGTGCTTGTTCATTTCTGGCAAACAGACATGGGTATCAAAAGCATTTGAGTTGCACTCAGAGCTTTTATTCTTCTTACAACATATTAAAACAAATGTTGATATCATGAAAAGAAGGGACAAAAAGGACAAGGAGTCAAGCTTTGTGACACGGAGTGCTGCCCCCCCCCTAAGAATTTGGTCAGTGTTGCAGACTTACAGAGTAGGTTTTTCTGATCACTTGGATTTGTGCCTGCATGGGGAATTTTCCCTTATCCACTGGGACATGCTTGTGGAGGGAGATACCTCTGCATTACCTCTTTGAGTCACTTCAAGCTAGTTTAAGGGTCTCTTCCTTGTACCTCTTTCAGGTACTGACATGATCCCCATCATCACCATACTTGGGCACTTCTCAGACACATCCTTGTGAGGTAGGGAAGTGCTACTATCCCTGTTTTTAGACAGGGAACTGAGGTACTGATGGCTCAAAATCACAAAGGGCATATTTAGCAGAACAGTCACTTGAAACAGGGTCCCAGTCCTTGGTCCTGCTTAGTAGGGGCTCTGCCACTGAATCATCCTACTCCTCTCTACCCCTCCTGAATATTAGTACCCACAAGTATTTCACTAATATGAAGCCTTCCGTGGGAAGCACTGCTAGGAGTACGTGTAGCTTTCCATGAGTGCTGCCTCCCCCCTCACAGATGATCCACTCTGGGTCTCACAGGCTGCTCAGCTGCATGGAGCGTGGCACCTCCACCTCTCAGGTGTGCTCCCATCACATAACATCAGCCTACCCTTCCCTTCCTGCTGCAGGAGATACAGCTGCTTCCTTCCACCAGTGCCCTGAGGCAGACTCTGGTCCCAGGGCCACTCTTCTTCTCTCTGTTTTGGCTCCTAAAATCTATTGTCACTGTTTGAACTGTGTTTCACCTGTTTTATTACTATCAGCATTCAGGTCATGCTTTCCTTTTCCTATATGCCCTCCCTCACAGCAAAATAACAGGTAACTTGCTTTCACATGCTACAGACTTGCTTTTACTCTGAGAAACAACAGCTTTCCTTTGGAACAGAGGCCTCCTTTAAAAAAAAACATATATATATATATATATATATATATATATATATATATACACACTCTTAAATACAATATCATAAGCTTAAAATCATTCTAGGTAAATAAATAGAATGCAAACATCACAGTTCTCAGTCTGGAGAGGTTTCTCCAAAACAGATAAATTCTGGCCCTGCTATTTCACCCTGGGATGGTGAGCAATCCATACAGTCTGTCATATCTGGAGCTGCTTCTTTCTGCAGCCTTTCCAGATGTACCTTGGTAATGGGATTGTACTCTACCGGAAATTGGCAGCTGCTGGCTTTTTTAGGGTACTCCAGCCCTTGTACCACACACAGATCCATAAGTTGTTTACAAACCAGGTTCAGTCAGCATCAGGTATTTCATCTGCCTCCTGACCTACTTCTTTTTGCTGCCTTGGGAAGCAGAGCAGTGGAGATGGCTGGGGAGAAAGGGGTCTGCAGAATGTCTGCCTCACAGCATCAGCACCGTGAACTGTAAAAGAACAGGTAGCAGTGCTAATGGTCACAGTTAATAATGTAATGCCTCCAAAATCAGTTTTAATATGGGCCAAACACTGGTTCAGGTGGACGGTCTCAGGATCTCGGCAGTGGTTTTAGCACGCAAGCTGAGTCTCCTCGTACGTGGGGAAAGCTCTGTTCTGGACTCAAGAAGATCACAGACTTCATCCATCGCCCTGGTGCAGGTCTCGAGGTTGTCAGCCAGCTTCTGGATTTTGGCCTTCAGCACAGCCTGGCTTACTTTAGTGACCTCCTTTGTGCATTCTGGCACGAGGAAGCTGTGGGAGCCGCAGAAGACCATGAAGCAGACGGAGTTGTAGAGCGAGATGGATGCCCTCTTCTCTGACTGGCGCAGCGCAGGGTCGCCTGGGCCCTGCCCCCGGCGAAGGAACTCCAGGCAGCCGAGTATTTCCCTCATCTGTTTCCGACAAGTCACTGCAATTTCCTGCACCTTCCTCACCTCCCGGGAATTGCAGAGCACTAAGGAGAGGTCGGAAGTGATGCTGACGGCCCCCCCAGCCGTGGCCAGGCCCAGACCCACGGCCGATGCCAGCAGAGAGGCTCCCAGCGTGGCCGGGCTCAGGGACAGCCCCAGGATGGCTGTGACTGCTCCGGCAGCGGTCAGCGTGCTCCCGCTGACGTTGGCGATCAGGGACCTCTTGCGGAGCTGGTTGAGTTTCCGAGCTGCCTTGTGAAGGTGAGCGATTTGGCCACGCAGCCTCCGTCTCTGATCCAGCAGGGCTACGTGGAAGTGGTGCGTGGGGTCTGGTGTCGGCAGAAAGGCAGCACCGTTCCTCTCCATGGCTTCTGTCCAGAGAAAGAAAAGTCTGTGGTGGGATTTATGTCAAAAAACCCCATGAGACATGCTCATCCTGGACCACCATTTCAGGGATGGCATCCAGCCAAATTTTTGTTGCTTCAAGCCAGCTACAAGAAAGGTTTTCCATCTGCACACACGTGCACCCTCACGTCCACACACATACCCATATGAATGCATACTTTTAATTACGTATTCCATTGCAACTTTCAGACAGAGAAACTTTAAAATGTTTTTCTTTAAAATGTTTTTCTTAATCCCTGCAAAGTCTGAAATATCCTGAGGACTGGGGTCAGAGGTGCTGTTACCATTATCTCTGTGAAGACGCAAAAGGTCTGGGGACAGAAATTCCTCTGAGATTAGGTGACTCAGTGCCCAGAGGAGTAATGCTGCCAAAACTAATCTGTTGTACCCCAGTGGGATTCAGAGGATCTGCAGTATAGAAGGACATCTTTCACACTCTAAGGAGGTGAAAGCCACCATCCCAAGTTTTTGTTTAGGGGTGATTTCCTATTAAAGGAGGAAAAGGGAAGCTGCTGAGTGGAGTCTATCTCTCGATTTTCCATATAGGAGGTGAGGAACTTACTAATGCCTTGGATGGGTGTTGTGAACATCCTTCCTTTCTTTAAGCTTCAGCAACTCAAGGCCCTGCAGCATGGTTTTTTTTATCTATTGTAACCTGGTGTCCGTGTATGAACAGAGATGGGAACTATTGTTCTGTGGTGCTTAGTCCTGTGGTCATAAATACCCAGTTACAGTGGCAGGGGGGCCTCTGAACCTTGTTAATAAGAGTCGTGAACAGCACATCAGAAAAGTAAGCCCATTTTCAGTGTGCACTCCCTTGCAGATGGGGAAACAGGGGGACACACAGAGGGCTGTGAATAGAAAAAGCTTGAAAACTGCTGTGTCTGGAAAATCCCCTCTGGCAAGATAGCAGGAGAGGCTTTGCTTCTAGGAGATGAATCTTCTGTGTTTCCGTGCTAGACAATCTCTGCTTGCTGTCTCTGTTCTTTACCACAAGTGCAGAAAGAAATGTTCCAATAAACATTTTCAGGTAGCTCTAGGGCTGCAAAATGCTCTACAAAGGAAGTCAGCAACTTCAGTCCTGCT